CACCAAGGTCGGGCTTCACCCTTTGCCATCCTACTTTGGGACACGGGCATATTTATACGTATTTCTAGTCCTTTCTCTTGAGCTGCAGCTGCTCTGGCTGGTGGGATTTTCACTTGGGCGCCCTCTAGTTTGCTCACTTTAACTCCTTCCATGACTTCTCGAAACCTGGAACCAGTTTTTATTTATTTTTTTTTTTTTTATGATTTTAATTTAATTAATTAATTTATTTATTTTTACATATTTTATTGATTTTTCCCCCTCCCTCCCTCCCACACATCCCCTCCCTCCCCAGAGCTTTATGTCCATTGGTTGTATTTTATGCATGTATACAAGTCCTTCAGTTGATCTATTATCTCCCCCAGATCCTCCTCCCCTCCCCGCTGTAATTTGACAATCTGCTTGTTGCTTTACTGTCTCTGTATCTATCTTTTGGTTCATCAGTTTATAATGATCTTTATTATCCACAAATGAGTGAGGTCATGTGGTGTTTCTCTTTCATTGATTGGCTTATTTCACTCAGCATGATGTTCTCCAATTCCATCCAGGTTGCTGCAAATGATGAGAATTCCTTCTTTTTTATGGCAGCATAGTATTCCATTGTGTAGATGTACCATAGTTTTTGGATCCAATCATCTGCTGACGGGCACCTAGGCTGTTTCCAAATTCTGGCTATTGTAGATTGTGCTGCTATGAACATAGGGGTGCATATATCCTTTCTGATTGGTGTTTCTAGTTTCTTGGGATATATTCCTAGGAGTGGGATTACTGGATCAAATGGGAGTTCCATTTTCAGTTTTTTTGAGGAAATTCCACACTGTTCTCCACAGTGGTTGCACCAGTCTGCATTCCCACCAGCAGTGCACGAGGGTGGAACCAGTTTTTAAATAGAATTTTTAAAATAGGTAACACAGTCACATTTTTTTTTAATGTTATGCATGAAAAATTTCCTCTTTTCTTTCCCCAGGGAATCAATTCCAGGCACTTGCAAGAAATTTCAAGTTTCTTCACCCGCATACAAATATGAATATAATTTTCCTTCCTTTTTATCCACAAGGGATTATATTCTTCACGCTTTTCTGAACCATGTGTTCCACTGGTGTGTAACAATACCTCTACACACAGAGCCTTAAAACAGTTCTGATTCTCCCTCATAGTTTGGTGAGTTGATAGGACCCTGCTAGCTGTCCGTTCCTGTACTGAGTTCTCACCTGTGCATGGTTGGCACAGGAGCTATATGAAGGCCTGGCTGGACCCGGTGTTGGATGGAAGCTCAGCTGCCAGAGCTCCTTTGCATGAACTTTCCATGTGTCCTGGGCTTCTCCCAGTAGGAAGCTGGGTTCCAAGTGGGAGCCTCCAAGGATCGAGCATTCCAAGAGCGCAGGAAGTAGAAGCTACCAGGACAATAAAGACTGCTCACAGCACTGGCATTATTACCTCTGCTATATTCCATTGACCAAGGTAGCCAGAGGGCCTGCCCAAGTTCTAGGGGATGGAGAAATAAACCTTGTGTTTTCAAGGGAGTGAGTGGCAAGATCATATTAGGAAGCTCTTGGGGATAAGAATATAGTGTTGACCATCTTTTTAAAAAATATATTTTATTGATTTTTTTACAGAGAGGAAGGGAGAGAGATAGTTAGAAACATCAATGAGAGAGAAACATCGATTAGCTGCCTCCTCTATGCCCCCTCCTGGGGACATGCCTGCAATCAAGGTACGTGCCCTTGACCAGAATTAAACCTGGGATCTTTCAGTCTGCAGGCTGATGCTCTATCCACTGAGCCAGACTGGTTTCGGCTGTTGGTCATCTTTGTAAAATAAAATCTTCAGCACCATCTGAAGTCCTGCTCTACTCCTCCAAACACACGTGCCAGAAGCCGAAGGAACTTCCTTTTGTAAAATCTAACATCTAAACTCCCCCTGTTGCCATTGACTCCCTATTTCAGACCTTCATCTCTTTGTAGCTAGTTAATTGTCAGACTTTCCTTCCTGGTTTCCAATATCCCTTCACTGCCAACAGCCAATAAAACTTGTATTTTCTTACACAGGTATTTCCATAAAATCTAGCTTTGATGATGTCCTAAGTAAAAATTGGCTCAAGTACTACAGTGGGTTTGTTTGATCTGTGTGATGTTGGCATATATAGTATTTACTTTTTCTTTTCTTTTAACTTTCAGCATCGAAAAATCCAGATTAGGCTCCTTTTGAAAAATTGGGTTCTCATATGTGGAAATTCAATTACTCAACTTTTAATATGTTCTAGATACTGAACAAAAGGAAAAAATATTGGTCCCTGTGGAGAGACAGACAATGGACAAATGAATAGGTAAAAGATATAGAATGTTGTATGGCAATAGGCTCTGGGGAGGGGCAGGAAGGGGACAGTAAAGGAAATGGTGGGGGCCCTGGCTGGTTTGGCTCAGTGGATAGAGTTTGACTGTGGACTGAAGGGTCCTGGGTTCAATTCCAGTCAAGGACACATGCCCAGGTTTCAGGCTCGATCCCGGGGATGGGGGGTTGGGTGGGGCAATGGGGAGGGAGCATATAGAAGGCAGCCAATCAATGATTCTCTCTCTTCATTGATGTTTCTTTTTTCTCTTCCTCTGCCTTCCTCTCTGAATTCAATAAAAATATATTTTAAAAAAAGAGTGGGTGGGGAAGGCTGCAATTTTAAGTCACACGTCATGGAAGGCATCACTAAAATGAGATATTAAGTTAAAAAACTTGAATAGAAAAAGGGTAATATAGATTTCCAGAATGTTCTTTTCCAATAGAGTAGCCTGTAGTCATATGTGACCATCTAAATGTATATTAATTCAAATTAAATTAAAAGTGTTTAGGTTTTTTAGGCACACTAGTCACATTTCAAGTGGCTAGTGGCTACAAAACAGATACAAACATGCCCATTGTTGCAAAAGTTCTACTGAACAGCATTGCAGAGAAAGAGTATTCCAGGCTGAGGGTACGGCAAGTGCAAAGGTCCTGGGTAGACGCTGATTGACTTAAGCTAAATAGCGGCATGGCTCTTCTGTTTACTCATTCCAGCTATCCTCTGTTGCCTGCCGTATACTGTGACTGAATAGCAATTTTCATTTATTACCATAATTCAAGCCAACTTTCCGAAGGCCTTTATTGAGAGTGAGTCTTAGACCCTTGGTCAATGCCATAGAAGCTACAGGAAGAAGTCTGAGCCCCCTGGTCTTGCATTGAGAAGCTGTGTGAAAGACAGCAAAGACCAAGAATCAGGAGTAGGAGGCAGACACGTGTGCAGAGGAGGTTTATGGTGTGATTCGAAAGGTTTCATCTGGAAGGAAATGGCACAAGCACCCACTAATCAGAGTGAATACTCACCGAAAACAGCTTGGGGGCCCTCTACTGGACCAGGCCTACTGGGCCTTTAGTTGGTCTGTCAGGAGGAAGTCTGGAGGATGGGATGACATTCTGGGGCTCAAGGCAATGACTGATTTCCAACTGGAGCTGAAGTATTTCTACATTACATCAACTGGTCAGTCTTACAAGGTGTGCGCAAGTGGTATTTCAGCCTTGAATAAATGTAATAGGTATTTTGGAATCCAATGGACCACACAGTTTATTGCAGAGTTTTTTCCACACAGCTTATGGTGACAGGATTGATGGGCTGTGCAGTGCCACCAGCACCCATTCTGATATTTCCCCCATGATGTTATGGGTCCCTCTCTCCCGCCAGTATGACACAAGCAGTGCTTAAATAGGTTCCAGCATTGTTCTCATGATTTTCTGCGTTACTAGAAGGACCCTCCCTGCTTTCTGCCCGGTTGAACCTTCCCCACTCAGCTTTCAGGCACAGTTTAAAGGGCCTTCATTGAAGTTGCTTTGCCCACCCTAGGCCAGAAGCATTTCTCGCTCCCGTGGCTCGGAATCCGCATTAGCCACACTCACTTGGCAATTACCAAGAGTACAAGGCAACCCTTTATTTTTCTTTATGTTTATTTTCCCCTCCGGCCAAATCTAAGTTCTTTGCAGTCAAAGGTCACAGGTCATGCTTCCTTTCTCCTGACATGGCCACATTTCATATGTGTTTGCCATGCATCTGCCCGTGAGCAGTTAAGGGTACATAGCAAACCAACTCAGGGCCCTGACTTCTACTCCTTATCTGCCCACGTTATTTATTTATATTTTTAATGTGAGTAAGCTTATTCGATTCTTACACGTCTGGGGCCCTCACCGGCCTTTGTTGAAGGCCCTGCTGGAGGCTTCCTCCCAGGGCTCACTCTGCTGGCCCGCGGAGCGGTGTAAACAATGATTCACACCGCGCTGGCCTCCACAGTTCACCCAGCACATTCATCACGGCACCAGGCTCTCAGGGACGTCGGGTTCCAACACGTCCGCAGAGATCCACCTTCGGGTCACTAGACTCGCACCTATTTTCCTAAACACCTATCATAACAATCCAGGTTTTCTCCCCTCGTCTTTTCCAGCCGTGTGCCAAAGAGGGGACAGGGTGGTGGGGGCCGTGCCGTCTCCATGGCGTTTGGCTTGTGGCGGAAGTACAGAGCCTATTTTGAAGATCTTGGGCGCAAAGCTTTTCTAGGAATAGCGATTGTGATTTTGGGGGCCGGGCTGTGCAAAAAGCTCGGAGGGTTCAAGAGGAGGGCGTGTCTCAGACTTCCCTGCCACTGGATCAAAAGTCCAAGTCCGCCCTGGCTGTTAGGGAAAAGGGGGATTTCAGCCCAAAGGGAACTGGAGTTGGGGGTGGGCAGTGAGTGGGTTTGGTGGAGCATTCTGGGAAGCCCGCGTCTATGGATGAGACGGTGTCCAGGGTGTCCAACCCTTTTCCTCTTGGGTTCCTGGAGAGGCTGAGGGGTCGGATCCTCAGGCGAAGGTGAGCCCCGGAGGGGCGGGGCGGGGCGGGGCGGGGCGGGGCGGCGCACCTGGGCGGGGAGGGGAGGCGCGGGCTGAGCCTGGCAGGGGCCCGGCGCGCGCCTATGGGCCGCGGCTGGCAGCGCCCAGCGCCCCGCCGCAGTCGCGCCCTCTCGCTGCCGGGAGAAGCCACGGGAGCTGCGGGCGCCGCGGCCGCCGCCGGGGCATGAGGATGGCCGTGGGCTCCGTCAAGATGCAGCCGCCGCCGTGCGAGAGCCCGGCGCTGGCCCGGGCGGTGGCGGCGGCGGCGGCGGACAGCGCCCTGCGCCGCAGCCCCAGCGCCCGCGAGCCCGAGCCCGAGCCCGAGCAGCCGCCCGCCCCGCCGCGGCCGCGGCTGCGGGACCTGCCGGCGCTGCTGCGGAGCGGGCTCACGCTGCGGAGGAAGCGGAGCGTCGGCGGCGGCGGCCGGGTGAGTGGCCGGCCGGGTCCGGCCCGAGGGGGCGAGGGCGGCGCGCACGTGGTGCCCGCGCCCACCCTGGGGAGGCTCCGGGGGCGTCTGGAAGTTGGGGTGGTGGTGGTGGTGGTGGCGGAAGGAGCCACCGTGTGCGGGAGTGGGCCGGAGGGGTCCTGGGACTGGCCGAAGAGGTCGTAGGGGGCCCCGGTGAGCGGCGGTTCCCCTCCCCCCAGATGCACCTGACCTTACCAAGCACCTGGATCCCCGCTGCCGGCCGGACCGCGCCTCCGAAGGAGGGCCGATGCCTCTCCCCACCGGAGGCTGCAGGTGTCCGGTGCCTGACGGCGGCCCGTCTGGACCGGACAGCAGCATCGGGGCCCACGTGCGGGGCCCCAGCTTGCAGCGGGCGGGAGACGTGTGCGCTTGTTTGGGACGCCCTGTTCCAAGCTCTGGGCGTCTGGACTGGTTCTGGCTGCCACCACGACCGTGGTGGTGGTGGTGGTGGGGGGGTTTGGGGGGGGACCCTGGACTGGGAAGTTACCAGTTACAGAAGGAGCTGCCAGCTCCCTGGCTCCGGAGTTTCCAGCTCTTAGCGCCCCGCGACGCTCCCTTGAACAGGAGGGTGCACACCCCTTCCCCCAAATCTTAAATTTTAATACTTTCTGACGGTGTGTTCAGATAGGATTGTGTGTGTGTGTGTGTCCGTCGTTGGGTTTTAAGAGCATCTAATGGCTCAAGCAGGTCCGACAGTCAGACATGTTTTGTGCATGAGGGAAGCAACGGCCTGCTGACCTCCTGGCGTCTCCCACCGGCCACTCAGGTCTCCCTGCTCACCACGGCCTCTGGGCACTGTCATGGGTTCTACTCAGTCTTTTTTTTTTAATGTGTCATTATGAATCAGGCTTTGCTGAGAAGCTGCAACAAGGTAGTTTGGGGGCCAGGACTTAACAAATGAAGGGGTGGTTGTCTGCCTCTGGAAGAAAGACATCGGTGGGCACATAGCTCTTGCAGAGGTGGACCTGTGGAAGCTTGGGAGCCAGGAGAAGCACCTGTTTGCCTGTGGGTAGAAGAGGGTCCGAATTCACCAAGGTCTCCAACCTCTCTAGGCTGCTCTGCCTTTCTTAGGCATTTCCTTTCCCACGTGGGGATGGCTGTATGCGATCTGCCTCAGAAGGATGTTCTGAAAATTAACTGGGCGGAGGAGGGTGTCTTGAAGGTCATGACCAGGGGCATTTTTTTGAATATATATTTTTCTTGATTTCAGAGAGGAAGGGAGAGGGAGAGACAGATAGAAACATCAACGATGAGAGCAAATCACTGATCGGTTACCTCCTGCACGCCCCACACTGGGGATCATGCCCACATCCCCGGGGCATGTGCCCTGGTTCATAGGCTAGCAGTCAACCACTGAACTATGCTGGCCAGGCTGAGCAGGGGAGTTTAACAACTGCCCACAAGTGACCTCCCGGGTGGCAGAGGGGATTGCCTGCAAAGAATGCGAGGAACTGTGCCCCAAAGATGTGACAAGAACCAAGCTGTGGGCTTTGCGGGAATCCAGGGAAAAGTAGGTCAGATGGTGCTTCTGTTATCCTGACAGTTACTTCTCCGTGGCACAGCGCACAGACACGCGGGCAGTCAGGCAGGCTGGGGAGGCAATGCCAGGCTCCGGTGTAAACAGGTCTCAGTGTTTGTCTGCACCCAGGCAGTGGCTCCTGCCACCTGGGGTGATGCTGTGGGCCTCGCCGATATGCAAGTTTACGATTATCTTCTCAATGATTCTGAATATGGTTACTTCAAGTAATGTATACTTTATCAACCCTTCTTCAGTTCGAATACTGTATTCTCTCTGAGACATTCCAAACACATTTCATAGGTGCACTGCTAGTTTCTTATTGGGGGAAGATTGTCAATTTTTTCCATGGTTGGAAACTCACACTTTTCACTAGTCTTCCCCTCCGTTGGCTTTGGAATTTGAAACCTTTCATAACAAAAGTGTAGGAATTTGAAATAAAGAAGAATGGGTGAAATGTCTAACTGTATTAATCTGCTCAGGCTGTCATAACCACGTGCCTAGACTGGGTGGCTTAAGCAGCAGAAATGTATTTTCTCCCAGTGCAGGATGCTGGGAAGTCCAAGACCGAGGTGCCGCTGATTTGGTTTCTGGTCAGAGCTCTCTTCATAGGCTTGTTGATAGCTGCCTTCTCCCTGCATCTTCACATGGTCATTCCTCATGCACATGGAGAGAGAATCCCTCTCTTCCTTTTCTTCTAAGCCCACTAATTCCACCACAGAGGCCCCATCCTCATGACCTAGTCTAACCCCCGCCCCGCCAGACTCCATCTCCAAATACCATCACATTGGGTTTAGGTCTTCACGTTATGGACTTTGAGGAGACACAAACATTCAGTCCATAGCAGAAGTGCTTTGAAGAACTTTATGTACCAAACGAGTTGGTGACTTGTGAGCATCTGGGGTAATTTGATTAGTACCTTGGTTAGGGCAGTGAGGCTAATGGATAGATCTTTGGACCTTTTGTTTTGTATCTCAGGGGCTGCACCTCCAGATCACAGCTGAGTGATTATATGGACACATTAACATGAAATGATTACCCCTGGTTTTAAAAAAAATCAAAAGCAGCTCTGTGCCTTGCACAAATTGGTATGAAAGTTTGCAATTTCTACATTGGCCAAGATCTCGTTGAGGATCTGGTAGCTTTTGTCCACGCTGCCTTGGGCTCTTACAAATCTGATAGCAACCGTCACCCTGTAAGCTCTTCGGGGGTTGTGTTGCCCAACCAGAATGCCTTGTAGGCCATCTCTTCCTGGGAAAATCAAGCTGACATTTGGTTAACGCTGCAGAACCCCAGGGCTCCTGGGTGCAGTAACTTCTAATCATATCGGATTCCAAGTGCACACAGATGAAGGCTCTTTGCACCTCTTTAGGCTAAGTGGGGAATGACTAAATTTTGACCTGTGGGAGGACCCTTGCTACTGCTTAAAAATTAGTGGTAAGATAAGGCACAGCTTGAATTCTCATCAAAACCCTTTTTTTTATTTGTTGAGATTATGAGAAATTAGTATAATAAGCACCGAGGCTTCAACAGTTATTAACATTTGCTCGTCTTGTTTCATTTATTTCCTCTTTCTCCACTTTGTGTGTGTGTGTGTGGAGGCAGGTATGTTTTAAGGTAAAATCTAAACCATCATGTCATCTCACTCATAAATGTTTCAGTTTACATCACTGATAAGGACTTTTTTCTTTTAAAGAAACAACTTTCTAATGCCTTTTTAGACACAGAAATGTTAACAATAATCCTTAATATAATTTCCATATTCAAATTTTCTTTTACTTATGATTTGTTGGAATTAGGAACAAAATAAGGTCCTTAGGCTTTGAAATCTACTTTGTTAGTCGTCCCCTACCTCCTGCCTCGTCTTTCTTGCTATTGATTTGTTGGGGAGAGTGGGTCATTTTTCCAGTAGAATGTCCCATTGTCTGGGCTGATTTCCTACCATGGTGTTGTTTTACTTGTTTCTCCATTCCCCATGTCTCCCGTAGCTGGCAGTTAGATGTAAAGGCTTGATTATATCCAAATTCAAAGGCAAGCATCCTTCGTAGGTGATGCTACTTAAAAATCAATTGCATCACATCACAAGATGCATGATGTCTAGATGGTTTTTTTGGAGTTTTTTTTTTGAGATGTTAAGATTGATTAGTGGGTTGAGGTAGAGTCAACTTACCTTTTGACCTTTCACCTAATAATTTTAGCATAATAGATGATTGTAGCCTAGATCTAAATATATGATTCCTTTTTAAAAATATTTATCATTTTTATTGAGATGTAGTTGACATATAACATTATATTAATTTCAGGTGTACAACATAACGGTTCAATATTTGTAGATACTGTGAAATGGTCACCACAATAAGTCTAGTAAACGTCCATTACTACACATAGTTTGCAAAATTTTTTTTCTTGTGATGAGAACTTTTAAGATTTACTCCCTTAGAAACTTTCAAATATGCAATACAGTATTATTAACAATAACCTATAGGCTGTACATCATATCCCCTGACATTTATTTTTATAACTAGAAGTTTGCACCTTTGACTTCCTTCACCCATTTTGCTCACCCCACAGTGCCCTCCAAACCTCCACCTCTGGCAACCAACAGTTTGTTCTCGGTATGTGAGGTTGTGTGGTGTGTGTGTGAGTGTGGTGTGTGTGTGGTTGTGTGTATGTCTTTTAGATTCCACATATAAATGAGATCATATGTCTCTGTCTGTCTGACTCATTTCCCTTAGCCTAATACCCTTGAGTTCCTTCTATGTTGTTGCAAATGGCAAGATGATAGTCCATTGTATATATACCACATTTTCTTAATTCATCCGTTTATAGACATTTAGGTTGTTTCCATATCTTGGCTATTGTAAGTAATGCTGCAATGAGCATGGGGGTGCAAGTTAGTGTTTTTGTTTTTGAGAAAGATACCCAGAAGTGGAGTTGCTGGATCCTATGCTAGTTCTATTTTTAATTTTTTGAGGAACTTCCTTATTGGTTTCCCTAATGGCTGCACCAATTTACATTCACATCAACAACACACAAGGGTTCCCTTTTCTCCACATCCTCAAAAGCACTGGTTACTTCTTGTTCTTTTTGTATCACTCCTCCTGAATTTATTAATTGGAATTCTGTCTGTAAAGAACTCACCCTCATGGACTAGCTGAGTCTCCTGAAATTTAGATTCTGCAGGAAAGACAGGGAAAAGGCTTAATTTTTTTCTCCTTTAATCAATTTTCTGAATAATGATTTGTGCTCTAACAACCTCCCATGATAATCAATGTTTCTCTTTATAAAGTATCATTAAGAACTTGTGGATCTTAATGTATTTGTTTCATTCCACTGCAGTCACTATTTCTGATGCTCAATTTGCCCTTGTCTCCTGTACACTGTTTTGAAGGCCCCACTAGCGCCTGATACTTTCTTGCTTTCTGGTACAAGATATTCAAAGCTT